GGACCGCTGGGCCACTGTCCTGCTGGCCGGGCCGTGGGCTTGGAGCTCTGGTTACAACACAAACAAGCGACGGTAGCCGTGGGATGCTGGAGGAGCTTCCCCAGCGCTGCTGCGAAGGCAGCAGTGGCCAGCAGCGCTGACTCAGCCCTTTCCCATTCTGGTCGTGGTTCCGTACCGCGAGGAAGAGCATGACCACAGCGGCTCCGTGGGCTGTGGCAGGGCGTCAAGGAGAGCCTTGCAAACGTGGCTGCAAACGGGGGCAGGTTGAAGGGCCACCTCTGCTCCCAACAGGGAGCGTCTGAGGTCTGTAACCTGCACCATGATTGATGGCCAGGCTCCGCTTGGGCTCAGGCTGGCGCAGTGAAGAAGTAAGCAGCGCTGCGGTAAGTATTTCAAAGCATTTCTTCTGTTTATCCTTCACTCTGCAGTAACAGTGTAAAACATATGCAGTATAAATTATAAAGTAGCAGTATAGATTGACATGGGCAGCCACTCTGGCTGGCTTCTCGCCCTTCGGGGTGGTCAGAGGCTCACAATAAACCCGGCAGGCATCCCAAAGGACAAGCAGAAATAGAGCACTGACAGGCAGCTCTCAAACCTTTCTTTGAAGTCACTTGTTTTTAATTATCCTCCACATGCTCTGTTAAATTTGCTGTCATTAACATTAACAGTATCTTTCTCACCTTCATCTTTTGCAGATTGCTGATCTGCCGCGAAATCTCTGCGGCCAGCCCTGTCTCTCACCCAGCGAGGTTTTGCGCCTGTCCCCATCAGGGAGCCCCGGCGTCAGCCGGGTTGTGTTGGGCTGCTGGAGAAATCTGTCCACGCTCTTGCTCTGCTGCCACTCCCCATCCCTCGGCCCTGGCAGCCTCCTCCGGCGCTAGGCACCTCACCTGGAGCTGGGCTGCGGTCGGACCTTTGCGGCATTGCGCCGAGCTCGGCAAGGCGCCGAGGTACGGTTCGCTTCCCTGCATTAGGCTGCAGAGTCTCCCAGGCTGCTGCAGGTGCTCGAAGATACTTCATACCCCTTCCGGGTGGTCTGCTGGAGCTGCTGGGGTGGGAGCAGTAAGTATGTGCCTGTCTGGCGAAGGGAAGGAGCAAAAAGGTTTTGGTCAACTTAAAGGGACCCTGTGAAACAGCAGGCCTGCGGCAGGCGTGCGACCGCAGGGGACAGAGAGCTACTGCTGGTTGGTGGTGGGGAGGTGGAGCTGTGGGAAGGAGAAGGAATAACGCCAGGGTAGAATGATGGCAGCTGACAAACCAGACAGGTACAGACACAGATGTTTGCGAAGCAGGCTGCAATCATTTTTATGGCAGAAGTACTATGGCCATCAGCGCAGACGAAGGAATCCTGCAGGTTGTGGTGTAGAAG